CGCCCCACCCGCCGCCAAAGATGAGACAAAAAGAGAGCGCCCCCCCATTTTTGTTGACCCGGGCCCCCCGTGCGCGGGGGGCGCCCATTGGCCGCCTCCTAAGCCCCCCCGCTTACCTGATTGGTGAAGACGCGGAAGGCCCAGACGTCACAATGCGCTTCCCTCGACTCCCAAGCCGCCGCCCTTAAGAACTGCAGTTCCCAGAATCCCTTGGAGGCGGCTCGAGGGCGGAGCTTCCGCTGCGGTTGCGGCTGCCTCGCGGGCGGACTCTTCTTCTCCACCCGGCGCCGCTTCGCTTAGCAGGGAATGTGAGGGCTCGTTCCGGCAGCCTACAACCCCCGGCATGCCTCGCGCGGGCTCGGGCAAGCGTTTCCGGTTGGAGCCGCCGGCTGGTCGTAAACATCCAGGTAAGGAGCGATATGGGGCGCTGGTGGGGGAGGGGGGCGGGCTTGGGGATAAGGAGGGTCTGTTGGGGGGGTCCCTTTTCTCCCGCCTTTTCTCCCCCAGAGGGCATACCTGTGTGTCTCCGCGGGGCCATTACTCGCCTGGGCCACTGTTAGAAGGAATGCCGCGCTGCCTAATGGGTACAGCTGAAGAGTGTAGCCTTATGGGGGGGGGGAGTCGCTCCCTTATGGTTGCTTTGACTCCATTTTCCTGCATTGTTTGCTCTGATCCTCTTCCAAGGAGCTTCAGTGGGCTGCCCACCCTCCCATTAATTTTAATCCTCATAACAACCCTGCGCGGTAGGCCAGCCTGCCCCAACTTGCCCTATTTTGCCCTCATGTGGGTTGGCGGAAGCTGGCCTAGTCTGAATACATAGAATTGGAGCTATCTTTAGTTAGGAAGAAAGATGACCCCCCCCCACACACACACACACTGTTCAAGACAAATTTATCATGAGAGAGAGAGAGAAAGAAACAGGATACACACACATACATATACACACACACATACATATACATATAGATATACATTTTTGTTTCTGACATCCTCTAGTTCCTTTTCCAGATTCTGCTTGGAGTTCAGATTGGGGCCTCACGGAATCGAGCCACCCCGACGCCATGTCTCTCTCGGAGTGCTACATTGCGGTGAAGCTAGCCGACCAGCCCCTGGCCCCTAAATCCATCCTGCGGCTGCCGGAAAGCGAGCTGGGCGAGTGCCCGCTGGGGGGTTGCAGCATCTCGTACCTGAAACAGCTCATTACGGGAAAGCTGCAGGAGTCGGTCCCTGACCCGGAGTTCATTGGTACGCTGGTACTCATGGTAGAGACCAGGGACACCACGTTGGCTCTCCAAGGCTGGGGTTAACAGAGCTTGCAAGCCAGGTTCGCTTGATGGCGCTGGGGAAGAGGATGGGCCAGTGTTTCTCAACCTCAGCGACTTTAAGATGGGTGGACTTTATCACTCAGAATTCCTCAGCCAGCATAGGCACCTGAAAATCCTTTCTTCAGTTACACTTGTATATCCAGCACTGAATATTTTCGATCGATCTCCATTTAATGTTTTCTCCTGCTGCTTTGGCAGTCTTTGCGCTCTGCTGTGGCCAAGAAGAAGCTGAGGAGAGCAGAATTGGGGCAGTTTAGGGCGGCATGCAGTGATCGTGGCCCTTGGAAACTCTTGCATGTTTAGGAACATGTTTGATGTTTGTTTAGAAATGTTTAGGAACAAAGCAAGCCATCAGGGCTTGTTCTGGATGAATCTTTCTAAGATTTGAGGAATTGCATTTTCGTATCTCCAGCTCCTTGATTTTTTGAACTCAGGCCTTAAATCAAAGAGCCGGAGATGTGATGATGTAAAATAGTGCCCTTTCACTGTGTTCTAATTCTTCCCCTTGACACTGGTCTTTTTAAACGTTCAGGGAATGTGGAATATTACTAGTATCACTCTAGTGTACTAGGCCAGATTTTATTGGGGTTGAGTCTAAGTGAGCTGCCTTTCAGATCTGATCTATTGTGGCCGTAAACTGCGGGATGAACAAACACTCGAATTCTATGGCATTCAGTCTGGCTCCACCATCCACGTCCTCCGAAAGTCCTGGCCTGAACCTGAACAAAAACCAGGTAGGTTTACTGCTTCAGATCTCAAGATGAGCAAAGCTGCCTTGGGCAGCTTGTGCAAAAAGCCAACATTCAAAATGGAACAGCCCTAGGAACTAGGAACATTGACTTCATCGCTGCTTGTGCCCTTTCTTCAGAGCAGGGGTGCAGAAGTGGGGGCCAAGGGGATTCCACCAACCCAACCCAACCTAAGAGGTTTTTAAGAGAGGCTGGGTGTCCCCATGAATGCTATAACCATGGAGAAACCTGTGTTGCCTGGAATGTGGACAGCATGGCAGTTTTAGCAGGACATTCCTACTTGCATACTTCCTCTGATGGTGGAATTGGGGGATTTGGGGAGCCCTGTGCCATTCCATTTTGCAAGGGCTCGTTCTGTGTAGCTTTTTCGGGCTCTGATTCCTTGCCTCTTCTGCAGAGCCGGTGGATAAAGTGGCTGCTGTGCGGGAGTTCCGCGTTTTACACACTGCTTTGCACAGCAGTCCCGTCTTCAGGGATTCGGTGAGCCTCAAATTCTGCTGTTCTTTCTGTGCCTTTTATTTTGCTTCCCGAGGAAATGCTGAGCTGGACTTCTCCAAGGCCCAGCCAGCTGCTTCCAGGTGCAGCCTAACTGAATCTCTGTGGGTTTTCCATGCAGGTCTTCAAGATGCTGGGGAATAAGGAATCTCTGGATCAGATCATCGTTGCAACCCCTGGCCTCAGCAGTGATCCCATCGCTTTGGGTGAGTCATAGAGCCAAACAGGGTTAGGTTGGAGGCTGGGGCGTTACAGCTGGTTTGTATTTTTTTGGCCAAATGCTGAAGCTTTTTTCATGAAAGTTCTTATACAAATAACAAACCAAGAGAGTGACCTGGATAATTTTCCTGTATTGGATTTACAAAAGGGGCTTGTTAAAGTTTTGAAGAATTTTGTGAGAAGGGACAAAGAAAAAATGAAAAGAAATCAAGTTCTGCGACATTATTTGAAGGGACTAAAGCTCAAGATTGTTAGAAGTAAAAGGAAAGAACATAAAGTTGATTTATTTGATCAAGATTAAAATAGATATGTTGTTACCTCTGGTACTCCTTAATAGACTTTTGCTGACATCAGGACTGAAATGACGAGACTTTAAGGATTTGCTTATAGATGGGATATGGGAAGAAGAGATCATTTGTTGCATTTTAAGAGAAGGTGATAAGTTACTAAAATTGTTTATACTTGTGATGAAGGGGGAAGTCATTTCTTTATATCTTTTCTTTTATTCTTATTTTTTCTTTTCTCTTTCTCTTTTCTTTTTCTTTCTTTTCTGCTCTTTCTATTTTTTCTTCTTCTTTAGTTTGTGTTAGTTTTTACTTAATCTTTAATAAAATTACTATTAAAAAAAAGGAAAGTTCTGAGTTTTGATCGGAGGGAAAGAGGCTGAACTACACCAGCCAGCTTCCCTCGTGGCACAGGCTGTAGTTCAGTAGCATCTGAGAGACCAGTGGTTCTCTTCCCCTTCTCCATTCATTGCTGGGTCTTTTCCAACATGACACTCTCTGGATATATTGGATACCAAGATCTAACCAGCATGGAAGGTATCAACCAGCACCATTGCAGGGTGCCAGGTTATGGAAGGCAGTTCAGTTACAAAGCCAAGATACATTTGTCAAAGACGTTTCAATTTGGATTCACGCATCTGAGGTTTGGACTCAGAGGTCTCTTCTAACTGTAGATGTTTATGAAAATAAAAACCTCACCAGTGCATCATTAAGACATGAGGAAAAACTAGAAACAGGAAAGATGAGATGATATATAATTAACCAGACCTTTAGCCTTCAACCCCAAAGAGAGTCACTTGGTTTTTCACTGTTTCCTTATTTTTTGTTAGACATAATATTGTCTGCATTTGCTCATTAATCATCATGCTTTCTTTATTTCACAGGTGTCTTGCAAGATAAAGACCTGTTCTCTGTTTTTGCTGACCCAGCCATGTTGGACACGTAAGTTTGCTACAGGTGCTAGGTGTGATCTGTATCTCCTGCCTTTGCATCAAGTGGGGAGTCTCCTGGTTCTCCTTGTTTAATGTAAACTTCCTACTCTTGCTTTTATTCCAAACTTTTCTCCTGTCCCTGAAAGATACTGAGAATTACTAGGCTC